CCAAGGCGTAATAATGACCAAATTCAACGCCAGAACCACAGTGAACAATGACTGCATGAATATTATAATAGTGGTCTACTAGGTTGAAATGTTCATCTATTTCGAACCTTCCAAAGAGTTTCTTGCTTCCGTTAGAGGTTGACTCTTGTTTAAAAATCATCAGTGTTATTATTAGATTGACTGGTGCCTCAGCTATAGTTGTTTCCTTATAACAGTCAGTTAGTTTGGCGCATGTTTGACAATACAGTCGATCATCACCTGTTAAAAATTCCATTTTCAGATACTTTAACAATAAGCTTTGCACGGACTGGTTATTAGTCATATTAGGAAAAGCTAGATGAAGTTCCAGAAATTCACATAAGTTTTCGGTACTTCTTGAACATTTACCACAAAGTAAAAAAGTGAGGATTTTTTCAGCAAAAGATTAATAAACACAAGACGAGATTTCTCTTGCAGGATAACACCACCAATGTTTGGGGAATAAATAAAAAGATGAGATGTTAAGGAATGAATGTTCATTTGAAAATTTATTTTTTATTTTTCAAAATTGTCATTTTGTTCAGTTTCATTTCGAGGTGATTATCGAAGTAAGATAAAAGTGGACTCTGAAATATATAAGATACTCGATTAATTCGAAAAATCAACATCCGATTAAGGGATTAAGGTATTATTTCTTTTAAAATAGTTCAGAATACGAACCTACTTACTACGGATTATCTAAAGGTAAGATAACCTTAGAATGAAAAATTGCAGTGCAAAAGTGTTATGAGAGTGTAAAATTCCATTATAAAATTAAGGTAGAGTGTAATAACACCATAGATTTATTTATATCGCAAATTAAATTTATCAAGTTTTATTTCATCGCAAAAGTACACTCAAAATAAAAAATTACAATGATAAATTTCACATTTCTTTCCGTGGTAGAATTACAAAGTAATATACCGCATGGAATGTGAGATCACACACAAAATCAACTTTCCGTTAATTTGGTCGGTAATTAAATTGCAGCCGATACCGGCGAAATATTTTTTACCAGTGACCTGGCAGTTACAGAAACCAGAACTGTTAGAGTTTGCGATGGTTCTTGGCATGAGCTGTTACTCCGGCATGAAGATAATACACTCTGCTTTCCTGAGCAGAACAAATATGACGGTAATGAAATGAAACAAAAAGATAAACTTTTCTTTCAGACTATTTAAACTAGAAGTTATATTGAAGTGAATCCTCCAGAACGTCGTAAAATGTTCGTACAGTGCATCCGATCAATTAAGAAGGTAGTGCAATCCATTTCAGCAGATGCATGATGAGCCACAAACTTTGTGGTAATCGATCCAGAATGAATTCCTTGTCATATCTGCTAGAATATCCATAAGTAAACAATATCCGTGTCTTCTATACATCATAAAATCATATCCACTAAGTTCAGGCATGTTATAGATTTTTTTCCGGTCAATAATTTCTCTAGTACCCACCCAAAATATGGATTTATCACTAGAGGTTTAAATGACACCGAGATGCAAGTCTTGAAATTATATAATGAATTCTCAATATGTCATTATTTTTACAGTGTTTAATAATACGTGGTAATATTGGTAACTGGATATGACGGTCATCCGAGATAATATCAGTATCAGTTATAACGGCTTAAAGTCACAAAGAGAAATAAAAACCCGGAACAAGTTCTTCGAGACGGTTCACTGGCAACGTCGCTATAGGTCTTCAGATATCCGGTTGTCGACCCTTCGCTTTTGTGTAAATGAACAAACTTGCATTAAAAGTAAACTTCTCCCATTTAAATTTATAAATACTTTGACACGATTTCGAGCAACAGACGCAGCTGACTACTGACCAGATAGAATGTAACCGACTGTTTTATTTATGCGTTTCGAATTGCATAACAGCGTTCAAAAATAACAGGCGTAGACGGCGGAATGTTATTACTTCCTAGTTCTTAGGGTGCCGAGGCTTTGTGCCAAAAAGTTCGAATAATACGTATTTATATGGTAAATGGGCTATAAGAAACTTTAAATAAGGTCTAAGGTATTAGAATTATGGATTTTATTGCTATTTATTTTAACCTTAACTCAATTTACTTCTACTGCTTCAATTATAAATAAGTTTCGAGTATTTGTAATTGCATTGTAAGTAAGTTTCGCACATTAGTAATAATATTCACATACCAGGTGTTTACTTTTAGCTACTCCATTGGACGTATCTTAGAAACTGTTTAAAAATCGTTTTAATTTTATTGTAATTCCAACTTGAAATAAATATTAATTAGCTAATACTTCCCTTCGTTGTTTTCTTCCAAGAGTATGAAAAATATTGTCAAATTTAACTATCAACTCACAGGAAACATTTTTGAGAACCAAAGGTTTTGCCACATGCTTGATGCTCTGAATCTGAATCCAACCTGGCAACTGCTGCAGCGCTTGGTATTTCCAAGTTCCTTGACCCTGTCTGCGGCATAAGAATTATTTACTAACTAAATGTCGATGTTATTGGCTTATCAAATGGTTTCTGTTCGAGGCGATCCCGCTTTCTCCTTACCAGTGGCCATAGATAGTTCTCTGTACCTTTACCATGAATGATGGTGTTCCCAGAATCCATATTGCCCCCAACCAGTTTTCTGTTGCAGCATTAACGATTCATTTTAAAAGATCCGAAATCCAACAGCACACTAGACTCTTTTCATTTAGACCAGAGGTTCCCAAACTTTTTTTAATCATAAACCACTTTCAAAATTTTGCTGGTTCCGGTGGACCCCCTGCAGCTACATTTCTACCATATTCTCAAAACTCGACAAAAAATGTGAAGATTATAGATAAGTATGGAAATTTGCGTTGTAGCGGCGTCCCAACCACAAATTGTGTTACATTGTGTTCCATCCAACTTTACTTTTTTTGCATCTACTCGCAGCACAAAACCAATCAATTCTCACTTACTTCATTTAGAAAACTCCCTAATTATTACACTATTATTCAGTCGTAATGTAACTAAAATTGAACATTAATAACGTAATTTCTACATACAACGACAAACACAAAATAGTCATAATTTCAATTGGAGGGATGTACTTGTTGATGGTTTGACAGCAAGATATCAATATTCGGCTTCAGTTTTATTAGAAATAACCGCAAATTTTCCCGTTCTCTGTTAAAAAGTTTTTAACGACATATGATATGACCATCAGTGCTGAGTTCGAGTAACTCCTCTTCCGTTTCATCAAATGGATTCATGATCCATGGTGGTAGTTCCATCGTCAGAATATCTTCAAATCTGATTCTGAATTCATCTTGCAGGGCAATTGAATGTTGAACATATGTCTGAATATCCTCATTGAGGCATTCTATATACCTGTGACAAGCCAACATTTTAATTTGAAAGGGTTATATTTTTTTTGATTTGAAAGGGTTATATTTTAGTTCTTCACGTTCGAAACCAGCTGAATTTTCGTGGACCCCCGCCTACGAATTATGAACCCTCATTTTTGGTCACGCCAACGTAGACCCCTATCCATCTGGAGCACTTTGGGAATTACTGATTTAGACGCTCGAACGACATCTGCCAATAACAAAGACAACAAGAAGTGTTATATCTCAATGAAAATCTGGAGAAAATGTTATCTTCGGATGACAGCAACGAAGTAGAAATTCTAAAAAAAAAACAAGACATCACAGTCTATTGAGCTGGATGAGTCAAATAATTTGTTGGGTATCAAATTCATTATTATAAGAGAAAATGCTATAGGAAAACATCATCATATATAGATAGAAATGTGTTACATAGAAATGCGACAGAATAATAAATTCACTCAGTGGTAATACGATAATATTACTGCATGACAGTGTTCCATGTAAGTAAAAGTAGAAATGTAGAAATCCTGTGAATGATATCTGATTTAATTCCATAACGAATGTTTGGAATGCAACCTGTGTAGAGACGTGTTTTCTGTGTAATTGAATCCAAAACATCAACAGCATATATGTCATTTTAGACATTATTGTGCTGGCTCCTACCTTTGAGACGGTGCCGAGTATCTTATTAGTTATACGAGTAAACCAGCCATATGTACGAGCATAGTGGATTCTGAAACGTCGCGATCCGATAAATTTTTATTCCTGGAACTATATGATCGGTACTTCTCGAATAGTCCTCGTTCCTACTTATTCAACCTTTCATAAAGCCGTCTTTGCAAATCACTTCAAAGAAGTAACAAAACGACACACCTAACACGGTCATCGTAGTTTCCGTCAGAGCCAATTAATAAATAATCAATCCATTATGACTTTCTATAAAGAGAACTAATTATAAAGGAAAGTAAATTCGAATTTTCCAGACAATTAAATACGGTTTCGAAATCGAGTGGTCGATCTGCCATCTAGAAACTTGTTACTTTATCACGATGGTATGTTCATTTCACCAAAAAGTAGAATTATTCATGTTTTGTAACTGTATGTATAATTGGAAATTTCTTCGATGTTAATAATTCATTTTGTGATAATTAAAGAAAAATGGATTGAATTAAGGTTGCATGCCAAGACATGTACTTCTCAACGAATACATTCCACTAACTTTCAATAAATGAATTATTACCAAACAATGTTATGGAAAAATTCCCTATCAATAGGTGTGGTGCTAATGATCATTCCAGAGTAAGTAGGAAATTGAAATGAATGACATTTTAAAATTTCAACTTAAACAGACGAGTTTGACAAGATTGACAAGGTTTACTCAATTTATTCTATCAAAATCTAAAGGTAGCCAGAAAGTGAAAGTTGAAAATTCTTAAAATGAATTTTAACGCAAATGTATCTATTGTATATGCATAAATAACATGGTACATCAAGCCATATTTTTTACCTTAACATCATTTTTCGCATTCCACATGTGAGATATCCCAAGTGATAGAACATCAAAGGAGTTATTACGATTTCCAGCTGCTACCAGGTAGATACGTGTCGAAAAAAAAAGTTCAGTTCCTATATTCACGTCAAAACATCACATGTTCGATAAAAACATCACATAGAATAGATAGAACATTGGACGATTGAAACATAAACGCCTCGCAGATCAGGTGGATACAGTCAATACTTGGAAATAGACAATCAGTTGATCTTGGTAAGGAGATACTCAAATTATGTGTACACGGTTCAATTTTATGCCGATAACTAGGCATTAAGGAGAGGTATGATGGAGTCATCTAACAATGTGAAAAATAAAAATTTATAGGAGAACTTCGCACAAGTGCTGGACAAGCAAATTTCTAATTTACTCAAATTCCATTTGGAATTTGAGTGGGATTTGAGCATACATTTTGTCTACTAGTCACAACAGAAGATGAAAAAAATACAACAACCATGATATCATGTTATGTTACATGAATCCAATGACTTACGTATTCTAAAAACACTTTATTGTGTGATTTTCACTAGACAGTTTTACAAAAACGCAATACGTGTTTCGCCATACAATGGCTTCCACGGGCGTGTCTTAATCTTAATCATTAAGACACGCTCGAGGAAGCCATTATATGGCGAAACACGTATTGCGTTTTTGCAAAACTGTCTAGTGAAAATCACACGATGAAGTGATTTTAGAACACGTTAGTTATGGATTTTCATCAAGTATCGGCCGATTCCATCATATATCCAATGACTTGCCTGTCTTTGAGTATCAATCAATCATTAACAGTGAGATCCCAAAGTAACGGATACATTCATTTTCTACATAATCATGAATGCAGGTTAATTTTTATATTTATGAAAATACACTTTCCCAATAAAATTAATCAACTGCCCTTCTTAGTTTTATGACTTGGTTACTCAAGAAAAAGATAATTTTATTTCATACAAAAACACGGACTCGAGTCAAATAACTGTTACGATTGACTAGTCTATTAGTTATATTGTTGTGAAAAAAGTAACATCGGATTTTTTTGTGACATTCAAATGTCACACATTTGGAAAAAGATCATTTTCAACTGAATTATATTCTGTTTTGTTTCCAAACGGTAACGGTAACTTTATTTTCAATAGATTTTGCGCATATTATTATTAGGAATTAATTAGGAATTAGGTATTAGGAATTTAGAGAATTTGGGGCAAACGTTTACATCATTCAAATAATTATTCAATTTTTAAGTGCCCTGGAACACTGATATCAGGTTTACATTTTTCAGCAAGAAATTACCAATTGTTGTCATATTTCGTGATATTTGATACGACTAGATCTCAGAAAAAAAGGATATAATTTATATCGACCCCAGCTGCTTTTTTTAAATATATAATTTAATTTACGAAAATCCTTGATAAAAGTCTCTGTGATAAGACCTCTTCACAATCCTAGACACCTGAGATGTATTATTATGTTTACAATTTGCAAAGAGATTTATTTTGTTTAAAAAAAATGCGGGTCACCAACCAAAATATATTTCAATCTGAATTCTGAAAACGAAAACTACTTGCTCAAATGTTAACTTATTAGGAAAAGAAAAGTGTGGTTAAAGCATGATAAGAGCACAGCAGTTCATGGATCTGCGTTGAAAAGAGATTCGCAAACTCCAGGAAACATATCTTATATCTAATTATTATGAGAAAGCATGTGATTGGAATAAGTTTCTGTCGAAAAAAAAACGTTTTTAATTTCTGAACCATAACTTTGTAGATATTTCGAACACACTGGATATTTCAAGTTTCCTGGCTCTCATTTCTTCTAATTTTATCCCTTTTTTTTCATAATGTCATAATTGGGTCATAATGATCTCCTGAGGACGCTAACTCGGTTAGCAAAACGCGCGTTGAGAGACCATAATTTTTTTGTTCTGGTGTTGCGAAACTGTTTTGGATACATTTTATGCCAGAGGTTTCAGTACGAATTGTCAAAAAAAACCTGAGACCATGAAAAAAAGTTTTTAAAGCGCTCCGACAGCCGTTCTCAACTAAGATTTTGTCAATTAAAATTGAAAGTACTCTCAAATCTGCAAAACAAATTTATTCCTACTATCAATTGCCATCATTTGTATATTTTTGGAACTGGATCAGAACATATTCAGCACCTCAATTCTATAAGCAGTCGGTTACGCTATTTTTTTTATAAAACCAGAGATAAAGCATTCGTGATCTAACACCAGGCGATGGTGTTTGGCCTGCCATAGCTACATCAGTGGTGCTAGGCTGAATCACTAGCACTGGCGCATTAAAGGATAAACCTGAGAAAGCGAAGGCTATGACGTCTCCATTTACTAAAAGACCATTTATGAGATCGACAGATTACTCAATCATCGAATATCTTAGATAATCGAGGCTCTCCAAGGCGGCCCGCTGCAAAGCCAAGCATTGACATTGACTACCGAGCGAGATTCGTCCTGTCAACTGAAAAACCATCAGATGAAATCTTTGCTTTACACTTAAATTCATTTACTTCAAATTAATTCGAAGCAATACTACAGAAAATTCACGAATTAATACAACAACTACTTTTCTATTTAACAGTTACTGAACGTCAATCGAAGGAATGACATTTCACAATAACAAAAAAATGAGCAGCCTAGTTTTTTGAAATTAATAAGAAATACTTGTAAGCACGGTTACTGTCAACTACAGCAAGGACTTCAGTTCGAACATTATAAATACAAGTATTCTACTTAAAAAACATACACTTATTTATTTGCATGCTATTTCCTGAGCTTTCAATTAATTAAGTTCAATGAATTAAAAAAAAAATAAAATATTGTTTTTGTCAGATTAAGCGAATCCCTCTAGATAATCGTCAGATAATGAGACAGCACGTCTAAAACAAATATGAACCATATATAGCTTAATCTGACGCGCTTGAGTATTTCAAAATGGCGAATTTTTTTTGCACATTATAATAATGGCCGTGAGTTTGCGACAGATCGAAATCGTCAGATTATTGAATGAGAGCTTTTTTTTGTTGCACTCAACACCCCCTTAGAAAATCTGACGCGCTCGATTAAATTTTTTTTTCTTTTCACTTTTAACCCTTACGTACAACCACCCACATCATGCAAACGATCAGATTAACATACCAACATTATTAAAAATACGTAGGACATTGATGCTATCAATATCTGACGCGCTTGAGTATGTCGATGCAACAGTATTTTTTTTGCATATTTAAAAATCTATAGCCGCTTACCCCAGCGATGAAAAGGTATATATTATAAAACATTTTTTTTTCTTATCATCTAAGCTTTGCAACCTAATATGTCTTAATGACGTTCGAGTGAATTCCCATTTTGCAACGTGGGCTCTCCTGCTATAAAGAGCACAATCCATAGACATACTCACGAATTATTTTGGACAACAGTAGGTTGGTTTGTGTGTAAGTAGTGTACTAGTGCAGTCTATAGTGAGTCCCTTAAAAACTAACATATGGGCTGAAAACTACCGGGCCTAAGAAAGGAAACGCGTTTTTTTTTCTTATTCATCAACGTAATCTCCATTAACAACACAATAACTTCAGTGTCGCTTCAACATTTGAATATCACTTTTGTAGAACTATTTATCTTTCGCCTCAAAATAGGCCTCAGTTTCAGCAATAACCTCTTCATTCGAAAAAAATTACCAGTCAGCATTTTTTCGAGGTCTGCGCACAGAAAAGTCGCTAGAGACCACACCTAGAGAATACGGTGGATGCGAAGCCCATTCATGCAGTTTTGCCATTGTTTTAATATTTCTTTGCAATTTCGGCCTTCTAACGCTCCAATAACGTTATATAATATTCACTGTTGATAGTATTTCTTTTCTCAAGATAACGATGAATATAAAACCACGCACTCCCAAAATACTAAGGCCATAACCTTTTCACCTGATTTTTGTGTTTTCGGTCGCTTTGGACGAGGTTCACCAGTTGCTTTCCACTCAGATGACGACCGTTTTGATTCCAGAGTGAAGTGATGGATCAGCTAACTCCTGCAAACTTCACTTTTCGATGCACCCCGAAACATTGTCAATCACCTTAGAATAAAAAGTATTACTTCAAAGACCAAGTCATTGTTTTTGATACTTGATAATTATCACTATTCCCGTTCAGCAAGAATACTCAAGACCTAAATAAGAAACCTATCCGGTAACCTGCTTCAATTACCTCAAGAAGCGTTACATTTCCTGGGTTTGGTGAGTGCGGTTTCATGATGAAATAAAAAAGAGCTCAAATAACCTTGTCTCCTGTTTTTAGCACGGAAATTGCATGCCTAGCTATTATCTCTATTACAATGAGTTTTGTGGAATCGGTTTGTGGCGCGACAAATGTCTACGTCCTTATCGAATTGCAAGAATACATTTTTTATACAGAGTGGATCGATGTAAACATACCAAAGTTTTACGAAATTGACTGTCTCTATTTAATAGGGCAGCGCTAAAAAATTGATATCTCCGCCGTTTCATTTCAATTATCAAATCGAAGCGTTTTTTTTATTTCAGTATTTTATGTTGAGGATAGTTGATTTCTAGCGCCGATCCTTTCCTTACTTCGATTTTCGAATGAGATCCATCACAATAACGAACAAGTAACATATCTCTCGAAAGACTCCTAATTAGGAAGACCTTCAAGATCATTCCCGAACTAACACAGTTGGAGCACACAGTTCCCGAACACAGTTGGAGCACACAGTTCCCGAACACAGTTGGAGCAAACGCCCTAACTGGGCGTTTGCTTCAACTGTGACCCAACACCAACATGTGTTTCGGAAAATATACTGAGAATGTTTCATCGACCCAGTTAAGCTAGCAGAGCACTTTGGACTTTCATATTATTTTCCTGATTAAAATTTTAGTCAAACTTTGTACTCTATTCCCTCTCTGTATCTCTACAGTAGGAAGGGTAAGTGTAGGCCCACAGCACTTATAGGCCACATGTGACGCATTGTACATCCTCCCAAAGAGTTGTCCTCCTAGGTCATCGTCCATCCTGTCCTTTCCAAGATGGTGAACAGGTCACTCCTTTATATCGGCAGGTGTACGCCAAGACTCGCCGAACACCACTCTCTTATTGACGATAACTCTGGATACTCGCCTGATAGTTTCATCTTCCTGTTCACACATCCTGCGTAGAGGTGTGTCCACTAGCCCCATATTATGGAGATGTTTCCTTAGTTG